AACAGTGCATAACTCCCACTACTTTCTTTACTTAGACAGGAAACACCACAGGCTTTCTGCTCATGTTCAAATTCTGATATTGTCACTTATTAGCTGTGTGAGATTGGGGAAATCTCTCATCTTCTCTGTACTTCAGACCACTCATCTATAAAACGAGGATACCACTTGCTACTTTTTATGTTTGTAATGGAGATGAAAATGCTTAGTAAAGGAAAAGCAGCTTAGTGAAAGAAACTGCATAGCAATCTCAAAGGCATGCGGTTCAAGGCCACCAGCTGTGCGTGGGAGAAGGAGGGGCAATCTCCTCCTGTGGGATTAACTGCCTCTGAAAACTCACCAGGGGCTCAGCTATGGGTCAGTTCTGACTCTAAGGTACACAACAACAGCAACAAAGGAAAAGCTCTTGGTATGGTACATTTTTCTAAACCTGGGATTCATTGTTTTCATTTTCCGTGTCTCCTACCTTTCCTCCTTCTGCTTTAAACTAGGAGCAAGCGTGGCTCTTGTTTCTGAGCTTTCTTTAGCACCAGACCTTCCAGTTGGCTCGTGAAGGGTGACTTTGAATTTTAAGTTGCTTGTTTAGGGGTTTGCAAGTATGTCTGTTGAGAACATATTTTGACAACAATCTGTCAGCCCCGTAATGAAGGTCTGCTAATGAGGCTCCTGAGAGACACGTTTTATTTACACAGACGACAAATGCCATTACTTGGCTGTGCTTGATGCTTTTCAAAGGCCACTGGACTCATTACCGTCATCAATACTTGCTACACTGTCTGAGGACTGTATATAATTTAGATTTCTGTTAATGGAATCATTTGTTATATTTCTGCAAGGGGAAGAATCTTTTACATTGTTTTTTCCTTGTATTCATCTTTGAACTTATCTTCTTTGTAACAACTAACTTTTCAGATCACATTTTATACTCTATTGTTGTTAGATTGCTGACATTTAAGGATGTTTGCTAAAGTCTCTCAGCTTTTCTAGGTCTTTATAACTATAGACTTAGATATGGATTACATCACAATATTAAAAGGACAAAAATCAGCTTTTTGAGGAAGCACCAAACTGCTTTCCAGAATGGTTGTACTATTTTACAATCCCACCAACAATGTATAAGAGTTCCTGTCTCACCACATCCTCTCTACCATTTATTACTTGCTGTCCTGTTAAACTTTGCCACTGTTACTGAAGTAAGATGATATCTCGTTGTGGCTTTGATTTGCATCTCTCTTATTGCCAGTGATTTGGAGCATTTCTTCATACGTCTGGTGGCCATTCTAATATCTTCCTCTGTGAAAATTCTTTCCTTGTCTTTTGGCCATTTTGTAATTGGGTTATTAGTCTCTTCCTTGTGGAGGCCCAGAAGTATTCTATAAACTTCTGTTATGAGACTCTTGTCTGAGCTGGAATTGCCAAATGTTTGTTCCCAGTCTGTAGATTTTATTTTCACCCTGTTGGAAAAAGTTTTTGATGTGCACAGGGATTTAATTTTTAAAAGGTCCCATTTATCAATATTATCCTCTTCAGAGTGAGCATTTCTGGCTGTATTTGGCAGTCTCTTTATACCGTAGACTAGGGCTTCTAAGCTTGATCTCGGTTTGTCTCTTAGAAACTTTATGATTTTGGGCTTTCTCCCAGGTCTCTGATTCACCTTGAATTAATTTTTGTGTACGGTGTGAGATGTGGATCCTGTTTCAGCTTTCTGCAGGTAGCAGTCCAATTTTGCTAGAACCATTTGTAAAGAAGTTGTCATTTCCCATTTGATAGGTTTTCCTTGTCGAATATCAATTGACCAAAAATGACTGTGTCTACTTCTGGGTTCTGGGTTCTCAATTCTATTCCATTGTTCTATGTACTTATTTCTGTACCAGTACCATGCTGTTTTGGTTACTACTGCTGTATAGTAGTAAGTTTTGAGGTCAGGGAGTGTTAGGCCTCCCACTTAATTTTTGTTTCTCAGAAGTGTTTTGCTTATTTGGGGGCTCTTGCCTCTCCAAATAAACTTGACAATTTCCCTTTCAAGTTACTTGAAAAATGAATTTGGTAACTGTATTGGAATTGTGTTGAACATGTAAACTCATAGCAGCATTATTCACCATTGCAAGAACATGGAAACAGCCTAGATGTCCAACCACAATTGAATGGATTGAGAAATTATGGTACATTCACACAATGGAGTATTACACAGCATGCAGGAGCAATGATTTCGTAAATTACTACCTAACTTGGGAGGGACTGGGGAGCATTTTGCTAAGTGAATTAACTGTCTCCTAAGAATAAATACTGTATAAAACCATTACTGTAGAATGAGTACGGGGACCCAAGGGAAGGAAGATGGAAGCGGAGGGGTGAGGAGTGGGGAGGTGTTAATCATAGGGTCATACAATTTGATGGGATGGAAATGAGAAATATCCTGTGTGAAAAACACTGTGTTTGAACTTTGTAAATAAACCAGTATATATATAAAAAAGAAAGCTTTATCAAGTAAAGAAAAAAATAAAGATAAATGTGAATGGGGGGGGCATAGGAAGGAAAATGTGCAACAGTAAATGAATGAAAATCTAAGGTCTCTGTAAACTTTTATTAAATATTACTAAAGAAATTTTAAAAAATAAGAAGACAAAAATCCTTACCACTAGACCAATAAGTGACATCATGATGTTGTTGTTATGTGCCATCGAGTTGCTTGTGACTCATAACAACCCTATGTACAATAGCTCTGAACCCTGCTCTATTCTGTGCCAACCTTATTGTCATTGGCACATCTTTACCCATTACCCCAATCACTGAATCAATCCATCGTATCGAGGGTCTTTCTCTCTTGCACTGTTCCTCCAACTTCCCAAGCATGATGTTTCTCTCTAAGGACTTGTCCCTCCTAGCAACATGCCCAAAGGATGTCAGATGAAGCTTCAGAATCCTTGACTTCAAGAAGCAGCCTAGTTTCACCCTCTCTAGGATGAACCTGTTTGTTCTCCTAGCAGTTCATGGTATAGTCAATACTCTTCTCCAGCACCACAACTCAAAGGCATCAATTCTCCTATCATTCCTATTCTTTGTCCAGCTTTCTGACATATAACAAGCAATTGCGAAGACTATGGCCTGTATCAGGCGCACCTTAGTCTTGAGACTGGCATCAATGCTCTTCAGTACTCTGGAGAGGTCCCTGACATCAGACTTTCCAAATGCAATTTTTCGAGGGGGAGGGCTGGGCAGGGAGAAGGTACAATAATGAATAAATGGAAATCCAAAATCTCTGTAAATGTTCATTAAAATTATTAAAACAAAATTAAAAACAAAACAAAACAAAAAAACAACCAAATGCAAGATTTCTTTTGGTTTCCTGGCTGCTAGTACCAAGAGATTTGATTGTGGAGCCAAGCAAATGAAATATGTTAACAATCTCAATCCCTTTACCATCTATCACGATGTTGCCAGTTGGTCCAGTAGTAAGAATCTTTGTCTCCTTGATGTTAAGCTTCAATCCATATTGTAGGCTGCAGTCCTTGACCTTCTGCAGCACACTTCAGGTCCTCCTCTGTTTCAGCAAGCAGGATAATAGGTGGATAAAACATTGAAGTTGTCAACGGTTTCGTATTACTTAGATCCACACTCAACTTTCTTGATATCAGCAGTCAGGAGATCAGAAAATATATTGCTTTTGGTGTGTCTGCTGTCAGGGAACTCTCCATATTATGCATGAGCAATGAAGTCAGTTTAAAGACTAAAGTGTACCTGATGCTGGCCATCATATTTTCAATCACTTGCTGTGCATCTGAAAGCTAGACAATGAATAAGGATGACAGAAGAATTGATGCCTTTGAATTGTATTAGAGAAGAATACTGAACAGGACTGCCAAAAGAACAATCAGATATTGGGTGGAGAAGGACAGTCAGAATGGTCCTCAAAGGCAATGGTAACAAAATTTCCTCTTGCATATTTTGGCCATTTTGCTAGGAAAGCCTATATCTTCTAAAGGGACACCATGCTCGGAAAGGTAGAGGATCGATGGAAGAGATCTCAACAAGACGAATTGACACAGTGACTATAGCAATTGGTTCAGGTGTGCCAGAGATTCTGGAGATGGCACAGGATAGGATGCGACTCAGATCTGTTGTTGGTCATAGGATTGCTATGAGTTATACTCGACTCTATGACACCAAACAGCACGAAGGCAGAGCTAAAAACTTCTGCATGTCCACAGTGCCTGGGCAAGTGTTGAGAATGAGGGAAGTGACTATATGGAGATTGAGGAATTGACATTCTCTATTTAGTTGTGCTACTAACCCAATAGTTGTGCTGTCTCCGGTGGTTTGAATTTACCATTTATTCTGCAGGTGAAAAATGGACAATCTCCTGTTGAAGCCTCATAAACTTAATGGAGGATTGTTATGAGTTAGAGCTGACTCAGCAGTGAGCTTGAGCATTGTTGTTTATTTGTTAGGCTCAGTCCCTAGGTGGTATAAATGGTGAATGTGCTTCTTTGTTAACTGATTTGCATTTACCCAGAGGTACCTCAAAAGAAAGGGCTGGCAATCTGTATCTGAACTCTCAGTTCTTGAAAACCCAGTAGTAACAGTTCTACTGACACACTTGGGGCCATCATGAGTAGAACCAGCTTCACAGCAGCTGGCTTTTGTTCGGCCTGATTTGATGTCTGGGTGACTGCCAGGTAACAGTAACCACGGAGGAGTGCCGGCTCAGCATTGCGGGAGTCAGGATTTTTATATAAAGGAGAAAATTTGAATTTTTAGGTAAAATCTCTGTATGGTTAGATGTTATTTGAAGTTGTCAAGTAACCTAAAAGATAATGTGGGACAAACAGAATATATTGAGCATGAGCTCATAAATTTCTCGATTTTGATCTTTACCTAAGATTTAAAGTAGTTTTACATGAGTTAAATAACCAAAACCAAACCAACCAACCAACCCAACAATCAAAACAGCCACAAGCTTCAAACAGTACATGAGAACTAATTTTTTTGTGTTTCCTTTGCAGACTGGTATAAGGGACACCTCATAAAACACAAAATGTTAGAGGTAAGATCAATTTGTTTTTATGCATTAGGTGTCATTGGATGGCTCTGTCCCTCTATAGACAGTTCTCCCCGTCATTGCTCTTCCACAAGCTGACCTCGCCCCTCCATCACTATATCCTGTGCTTTGCCATCTCTCTACCTTTCTACCCACCTCTACAGCTTGCTGTGCTATAATTGTCTTCATTATTATTTGCTAATTACATTTCTCTCTCCCTTTAAATTTATTGTGGCTGGAGTTGTGTTTCTAATCCAAAGGCAGTGCCTCTCTGGTGGTTCAAACACACCAGTAACTCCTCAGGAAAAAGGTGGGCAATCTCCGCCCAAGTGATTTACAGTTTATGAAAACCTACTGGAAGGCCATCTCTGAGTTGATTCTGACTCAATGGCAATGAGTATTTCTTTAAAATATATTTTTAAAATAATCTCTTTTTAACCCTTTTTAGTTTAGAGTGTGGTGGTAGTAGCTATAATCACCATGTCATCTCAGCATCACTTTTTTCTACTTTCAAAATGTCTTCATCTCTCCAATAGAAACCCTGTCCTCCTTGTGCTGATAACACGCCTCCCCTCCCTACCGCTCCTGGAAACCTCTAATCTATTTTGGTTCATGCATATTCACTTCTTATAGGTATTTCACTAGAAATATCCCTCTGTGATTGTCTTATTTCAGTTAGTGCAATCCAGCCTATTCATTAGTTAATGATCACTTGGGTTATTTCCAACATTTGGTTATTGTGAATAATGCTGCTTTCTTATTTAACTTGAAGGCCCATCTCTGATGCTCTGGTCACTCTGAAACCTTGCCTGAGAAACCAATCACAGATCGTTTCTTCCTTCTTGGTGTCCCTTGAGTCACATTCAGAATGGATTTGGCCTTTTTTTTTAAAAAAAAAAATCTTCTATTGCCTTTCTTAAGAGATATTTGCAGGCATTCATTCATCTGTTTGTTTATATATTCATAGAGATTGTTAATAGGAAGGACCCCACACCCCTAGCCCCTTCCCTGCTGTGGAGGAGGTATACGTGTTCCAACCCTACATTACACTCTCATCTCCATGAGGGCAGGCTCCTATCTTGTTTGTCTCTCACAGTATCTAACACAGAGATGAAGTGTCTCAGGTGCACTGTAGCTGACTTTGTGAATCAGTACCTAGCAATTGATGTACTTGTCTTACTAACTAAGCTTATGGAGTAGCATAGAATAAAAGCTTCCTCCCTTTTCTCCAACGTGCTGTGTTGGAGGCAGGAACCTATTCTACTTTCTTAAAGTATAATAAAAATACCTAGGATTAAACAAATCTCAACTCCAATTAGCCCAAATGCAACCAGGGTCCCTGATGGCTGAAAACTTAAAGGGTGTCTATTTCCCTGGGATGAGACAGGAAAGTGATGAAGACAGAGTTCTTGCCTCACTTTCAAGCTCTGATTCCTTCATGCCCATCTGATAGAATGAATGTCCATTATTGGTTGGACATGCACCCAATGTCCATTATTGGTTGGACATGCACCCAACCCATCCTTTCTGATTTAGTTTTATTGCAGGATTTAGAGCAACTGATGAAGGCCAGGAAAGGAAGCTAGACCATAATGAGTACATTTAAGATCCATCCTGTCTAAATAGCTGAAAATGGTATGTGGGGCACAGAGCCATGAGCATTTCCCTGAAAGGGCCAGAGAGAGTGAGACTAACACAGCGCCTCACTGCCGCAGAGCAGAACAAAAGATAAAGGAGCCCATAGCCCAGACCCAAGGTACCTCTAGAGCCTGACCAGCAGCAAGAGGTTTATTGGTTGCTGGCTCATAGACTCATAGTTATGGTACCAAGAATGGGGTTTATTAGGGAAGGATGTTAGAGAGTGGGGGAGGCAAAGAATGTCACCCAAAATAAGTCTAGGGTATAGTCCAGCAGTCCCAAGGCACAATTTCTCAGTTAGTTTCTGGTTTCAGTTCAACAGTCAAATCCAGTCATCCAACAAGGTTTGCTTCAGAGTAGTTATAAGTCAGATTCTCCTTCAAGTATTCAGCAAGAACAGTGAAAATCTTTAACTGTGGCCAGCACAAATGCAAGAAGCCTCAGGTCACACCTTGTCACAGTTCCTCCACAGTCATGCCACAGTCTTTTCACCGCAAGGGTCTTGCTGTCACAAGTCTTTCTTGCCTGAAGTCTTGCTGCTCAGTGTGGGACACATTCTTTCTCTTATCCTAGTCCCATAGCTGTTGGTGATCTGCAAGATGATAGTGATTTGCAAGATCATCTACCTGAAGTTAAGGTAGCTAGATACAAGAGGTAGCTAACTAATGGCTTAAAAAAGCCAACTTTTAGGCTAATACTACACATTCCTATTTTACCAGGATTATGCCTTTAATGTTGGAAAATGCTACTCATCAGTGGCTGTTAGAGAAGCCATGATCTGGGATCAGTAATTTCTGTAGGGATATTGTGTTGTTGTCATGTGCCGTCGAGTTGCTTGTGACTCATAGCGACCCTATGTACAAAATCCCTAAACTCTGCTCTGTCTTGTGCCAATCGCATCATCTCCGATACACCCATCCCGATTACCCCCGTCACTGAATCAATCCACCTCATAGTGGGCCTTCCCCTTCTTCACTGTCCCTCAACCTTACCAAGCATGATGTCCCTCTCCAAGGACCGGTCCCTCCTTACAACATGTCCAAAGTATGTCAGACGAAGCCCCAGAATCCTTGCCTCCAAGGAGCAGCCCGGTTTAACCCTCTCCAGGATGAATCTGTTTGTTTTCCTAGCAGTCCATGGTACATTCAATACTCTTCTCCAGCACCACAGCTCAAAGGCATCAATTCTCCTTCTATGCTCCTTAGTCACTGTCCAACTCTCTGATGCATAACAAGTGATAGCAAAGACCATGGCCTGTATCAGACGCACCTTAGTTTCCAAAGAGACACCACTGTTCTTCTGTACTTTGGAGAGGTCCCTAACAGCAGACTTTCCCATGGCAATACGTCTTCTAATTTCCTGGCTACTGGTGCCGAGAGTGTTGACTGTGGAGCCAAGCAAACTGAAGTGGTGAACAGTCTCTATCTCTTCACCATCCATCCTGATGCTGCCAATTGGTCCAGTGGTGAGAACCTTTGTCTTCTTGACATTGAGCCTCAATCCATATTGGAGGCTACAGTCCTTGACCCTCTGCAGCAAGTGCTTCAGGTCCTCTTCAGTTTCAGCAAGCAGGGTTGTGTCATCTGCATATCGCAGATACATATCGCAGATCTGTAGGGGTATGTGTTGTTATTTCATTAGTTTTGTTTATATTTTATTTTCTTTGTTTTCAACAGGGCATTTTCCCTAAATCGTTTATCCACATCAAGGAAGTGACAATTGAGAAAAGAAGGTACTTGCCATTCGTCACACACTTGGGCCTCTAGTGACACATCAGCGTCTTTTTGTCTCTTTGTCCTGCTTTAAAGACAATTACACTTGGCAGATGAAAAGGACGCTGAACTCACCCGTTTGTGTCTGTGTTTATTTTCGTGTCTCTTTTCTCTCACTGGTGCAAAATCTAATCCAAACTGATCTCTGTTCAGATCGGATTCAAAGTGGTGGTAGTAAGTTTGGAGAATCATGGCTTTCATTGGCAGATGCCTTTGAATTGTTATAAAGGAGATTAATCCTGAATATTAAAGTTGATTAATGCTGAATAATGAGCGAGTGGGGCCCACCCAAGTGAAGGAGGCCATTAAAAAAGGAAGTTCCCCGCATTTGCATAGTGTAATTGGTGTGGCTATAGGAGACTGTTGACTCTCCTGCCAGCGGGGCCCCTCTCAGCAGCTGCAACAAATGCAAATTTGTCCATATTTTATCTTGTTAGCACCTGGGCCTCAATTTCATTCCATTTTCTCTCCCACCTTAAATAGAAACACTGAGAACATCATCCCAGCAGAAATTCCTCTGGCACAAGAAGTGACAACAACACTTTGGGAGTGGGGCAGCATCTGGAAACAGCTCTATGTGGTGAGACAAACCCTTGCCTTCTCAGATGGAAGCTCCGTGTGTTCTTTGGGTTGCTTCACGTTTGAAATTTCACCTTAAACAGGGTATGAAGGAGGAGTTGATAGCAAGGCTGAGCACGTGCTATACTGTGTGACGACAGGGTGGCCCAAAGATGTTAGATTACTTGCTAAAAGTCACATAGCTTCCAAGTGATAGTTGCTGTGTACTGTTGAGTAAGAATCAACCCATAAATGACCCTCCCATAGGTTTTCAGAGGTATTTCAATCTCTAAAAGGAGGAGATTTCCCAACTTTCTCCCATGAAACAGCTTGTGGATTTGAACCATGTGCCTTTGGGATGGCAGTGTAGTTCCTTACCACTAGGTCACCAGAGCTCGCCTGCCAAGTGACAAAGCCATAATACATAATTTATGGAGTAATATTTTTTCTTAAATTTGTGCAGAAATTCTCAAATTTATATATGTCTGACAATCATCTTGACAACTCTGCAAAAGAAAAATATTTTAATAAGGCTTAGCATTTTTAATAAACCCAGGTGGTTCTGATTTAGGTCAGCTGATAAATACCTCAAGGAAAACTCTTCTTGTGTATTTAATTAACTGATGGTTACTGTCCTCAGATCTAAGCGGTATCTCTGACCCTGGAAAAACAAAGAGGACATACTGCATGTGTTTTCTCTGTTTTGAAGCTAAGCTAATTTTAAACCCTCCTTTGATGTTTCCAGAGCTCCTAATGAAAGCAATTAGCTAAACAAACCATTAAGCTGAGAGTGAAAATGTCAGCCCAGTTCTCCTGCGTATTCGTTACAGCGCAGTGCACACGTGCAGGTGCACGCACACACCCTCTGTGTAGACACGCTTTTGATGCTCATCAGTGTTGACTCTTATGGGGAAATATCATTTTTGTTAATTGGCACACCCAATCTATGTCTTCCAGAAGTTGTTTGGAAAGTTTACGGGAACAAACAGTAAACGTGGAGGTAAAGAGGCTACTCCTTTTGAAACATAACCACGCACATGTGTATCATGAAAGCTTGCCATTCTCTCTCAGAATCTTCGAATAGCAAGGTCATTGTGCACTTTACGCCAGCAAGGAGGCCATTAGGTGTCCTTATCAGGTTATCCTCTTCATAGTTGACATATCTGCATGTCACCTTTGTATTATTTACTTAAAACCTAAATTGGCTCTCTTTTTATTAAACTTATGTCGTTAGCAAAAGGAACTTTATAGCATGCTTTCCCTAGTGAAGAGCCAAGAATTACTTGGCATAAGTAGAACATTATTCGAGTAAATAAATGAAAACAAGATACTGCTATTCAAGTCTTGCTGTAGTGTAGTATGCATTGAAACAATGTAGTCTAAGACCTTCTTTTGTTGTTATAAAGGGAAATTAACCAGTGAGGGGGAGATGTTTAAGACATATTAGCATGAGACTGAGACCTTCTCTGTTATTTAAACAGACACATGAAAGGAGAAGGAATAGAGTCACCATATGGATGGGTCATTGTTATTGAATGTTCTATCTTTGTACAACCAGAAGCCATCTGTGTCCCACCTTGAGAAATACTGCACTAGAAAGCAGGCCTTTCTGATCAGAGAGAAGTGCCTGAGTAGCGCACATGACTAACATTCTTGGTTATAATTGAAAAGTTGGAAGTTCAAGTTCTCTTAGAGGCATCTCAGAAGAAAGGCTTGGTGATCTACTTACAAGAAATGAGCTATTGAAAACCCTACGCAGCAAGTTGTATTCTGACACATGTGAGAGCGCAGGAGTTGAAATTTATGGCTGTGGCAACTAGTTAGTTGGTTGTCAGGAGGGGAAACGGCCCCAATTCTCAACCTTAAAGGGGCCTACGTGTTCATAGAATTCCTGTTGAAGTGTCTTCTGGATGAAAGTCAGAAACTATCTTCTCTTTAATCATGGAGTGATTAGGATGATAACTTTTTTTCTTGAGAAGCATCTGCATCCCCAGGGGAGAGAATATGTCAACTACTAAGACCCTTTCATAGCAAGGGAAAAGATGGCATAGTCCTGAACACACTCACCTGTCTCAGGTACAATTTGCCAAATAGAAACCTAGGCACCTTCTGCATAAGTAATTCTGGCTGGTTTCATGTCTTCCAGGCTAGCAAAAAAGAGCGCTTCCTCCAGGTGCAGTCCATGATGTACGACCTGATGGAGTGGCGGTCCCAGCTCCTCTCGGGAACATTGCCCAAGGATGAGCTAAAGGAGCTGAAGCAGAAAGTCACTTCCAAGATCGACTATGGCAACAAGTAACTTCTTCCTCTGATAGGATGTTTTCTTCCCCATCCACTCACTCTCTCCCTCTCTTCCCTTCCAAGAAGCTGGGCTTCATTTTTAGATGTGAGTTTGCCACTTTCTATTTGAGAGAAGGCTGTTACCACTAGCCAAGCTTGTGTAACTTTGTTATTGCCCCTCAGGGACCCACGGACATGCAACTGAAGAGAGGGCTTGCTTATGCAGTGGTTATTACCAGGCTGGGAGATTTAGGACACTCATTTAACCTACTTCCAAGGGCTAGGGAACACAGTCATGCTGGTTTGTTTTCAGCTTAGTTGTCATTTTATTCCTACATTTACCAAACTCTCTCTTTAGTCCCAGTGTGAGACTTAATGTGCCTGCCTCCATCCTAAATTATCCAAGCCACATGCTATCAACTAACTCACATGCACAGTTACTAAAGCTGTAGAGAGAAGAAAAGCAGAGCCTGGTTGGACTTGAATGCTGTGAAGTTAAAGAGAAAATCAAACTTTGTTGTTATTTGAGGCAGGACAGTTCATTCCTAAGAATCGAAGTGATAATAATTTATCACTAACTATCTGAACTTATTACACACCATGCTTTGTACTAAGTGTTTTATATATGTGTTGTTACGTACCATTGAGTCACCTGCGACTCATGGTGACCCTGTATGCAATAGCTGTGAACCCTGCCCTGTCCTGAGCCAGTCTCATTGACTCCAACACATCTATCCCCCATAACAGTTACTGGTGTCAATCCATCTCATCTGGGGTCTTCCTCTCCTGTGCTGGCCATTTACCCTTTCAAGTATGATGTCCTTCTCCCAGGAACTGCTCCCTCCTGGCCATGTGCCCAAAGTATGTGAAATGGAGCTTTAAAATCCTTGTTTCCAAGGAGAAAGTTGGTTTCAACCTCTCAAAGACAGACCGGTTCATATTCTTGGCAGTCCACAGTATGTTCAATACTCTTTTCTAGCACCACAACTCAAAGGCATCTATTCTTTTTCTGTCATCCTTAGTCATGGTCCAGCTCTCTGATGCATAGCGAGTTCTTGTGAAGACTATGGTCTAGATCAGACACATCTTGGTATCTAGACTGATGTCACTGCTTTTTAGCACTTTAGAGAGGTTCCTGGCAGGATACTTCCCCAATGCAATTTGTCTTTTGATTTCCTGAATGTTGGTGCCATGAATGTTGCTTCTGGAGTTGAGCAAGCAGAGACTGTTAACAACTTCAATCTCTTCTTCATCTGTGGTGCTGCTAATTGTCCCAGTGGTGAGAATCTTTGTCTTCTTGAGGATTGAACTTCAGTCCATATTGAAGACTGCAGTCCTTGACCTTCTGCAGTAAATGCTTCAGGTCCTCCTCAATTTCAGTGAACAAGGTTGTGTCACCCGCATAATGCAGACGGTTGACAAGTCTTCCTTTAATCACCATTTAATTCTCACAGCAACTCTATGGGGCTATAAGCAGTTTTATTATCTCCCTTCTGTTTTCAGAAATTGACAGTCTTAAAGATCTTCAGTAACTTATGCAAAGTCACATAGCTAGTAGTGTAATGACACAACCAGAACTGAGACTCAACCACTGTGCATCTTCGATAACCATGAGATAATCTTGAGAACCATGAAGACCTGCTCTATGTCTTGGTTATTCAAATGTCTTCTAAGCATCCTACTCATTTGTTCATCCTTCCCCATCACACATATGTGTTGCGTCTGACTTATTTCCCAGTAGATACTAGAATTATAGACACCAAAGTCCCGATCCACTAAGGACTACAGTCCACTTAGTGCAAAACTACATGTAAATTGTTGATGAGTGTTGGGAAAGTTTTACAGTATAAGAAGTAAGGGTGTTTAATTTTGTAAGGGTATATTGCTGTATAATGTTGTAAGGTATTTTATGATACAGGAAGTAAGAGTGTTTGATACTGACTTGGAAAAGGAAGTCAAAGAAGAGTTCCTGGAAGAAGAGACCTCTAAACTGAATTTTTAAGGATAAAAAGATGCTGAGCAGATTAATAAATTGAAAGACAGAGATACTTGAGATAGAATAGCATGTTCCAAAACCCCACTGTCATTATATTCTGAATCTTGACAACCTTCCATCAGGCTTTTAAGGCTGAAAATATTTACAAGAGGAGATGGTCCATCTTTCTCCTTTGGAGCTGCTGCTGGATTTGAAGCATTAACTTTGTTTAACAACCCAATGCCAGTAATGCACTATGCCACCAGGGTTCAGGAAATTGCAAAATGACTCAGAAGGATGGAAATAAGGCTGAGGATGAAAAGTGGAGAGTAGAAAGTGCCCATTCTGTGAGACTGGGAAGAAAAATTTCCAGCAGCCAGGCTTCTTGCCCTTGTCATAGGCATTATGAAGAGGGATCAGAGCAGGAACGTCAGTGGGTCCAACTTACAGCTGCTTCCCATCCCAGGAGCCTAATCCCTTCACTGGCTCCCTTGTTGGCAGCTGGCAGGCGTGTCCAAATCTGCTTATAATGCACATCGCCTCAAAGTGACGGAACAGTTTTGCCATGCAGCTGCTGTGGGTGGTGGTGCAGAGGCCGCCTTCAGCTCAGCACAGTCACAACTGAGAGCGTGGGGAGAGAGGGTGGTTCACCGCTTTGCAACAATGGCATCCGTGACCTTCAGATGTTGTTTCTCATGGGGGCTCCTGAGATGAGGAATAAGGATAGAAGAAATGTCTACAACTTACAAGAAGTCTAAACAGTGACTGTTTGTGCCTGCTCCTGGAAGAGGGTCCCATTCAACTAGAAGATTGAGGGGTGAATAGGGTTATAGGTGGGAATCAGAGGAGAAAGAGGAGCAGTGGGGTCCCCACCAAGTCAGACCTACCCTCCGCAACATCACCCCAGCTCTGCGCTTCCACGTTCAGACCATTTCCTTGGAGAAGTGTGGGGATGCCTCAGAGACTGAGGGCTTCAGGAGGAGCTGCTTGTTTCCTGCCCCTCTTTCCTGATCATCACCTCAGCTGGAAGTGAGAGGCTTTGGGCACCTTACCATTGGCTGGTTTCATGAAGACTTACAGCTCTGTACACAGGATGCGTGGAGTCTCTAGAGCCAGGAAGCCTCTGCAGAGGCCTCTGCAGAGTGTCAGGGCCAGATAAAAGATGGACAGTCTCTTCCCGTGTTATTTACTGCCCCTGAAAACGCTCTGCAATGTCAGCTGTGGGTTGGTTCCATCCCAAAAGTACATAATAACAGCAGCAGCCGTAGAGAAAGTGCAACCAGGGTGCCCCTTAGAGGTAATGGTTGTGAAACTTTGTCTCTTGTACTCCTTAGAAAAGGAAAAGGAAAGGTAGAGGGTCTGAGAAAGAGTGGAAGGCCACCAACCAGATGGATTGACAAAGTGAGCTCGAGCATACAGACATCATGAGGATGACACAGGGTAATAAAAGGTTTAGAGCTGTTGTTCATAGGGTTTCTATGATCACAGTCAACTTGATTGGACCTAACAACAAGACAGTGAAAAATTTTGCATGAACTTCACCACATGTTTGAAATTGTTCACTACAGATTAGTTGTTGTTATAATGTATTGTTGAGTAGAAACCATAGCTGACCCTCCAGTGGGTTTTCACAGGCAGTTTAATCACATGGGAGGAGTTTACCCATCCTTCTCCCATAAAGATTAGTAAATAGACACAAATAAAATTCCCTTCCCTACTGGGTACTCTCTATCCCTTCCAGGACTTTTAATTTTGAAAAGAAGCTTCGACTATGAAGGAGGGTGCTTTGGGGTTGGGAAAGAGACAGAGACCAGCCTTACCTAAAAGCATAATATTCACAGTGGTAAAGACTATTCACTGCAGGTTAGTAAGAAAGCTCATGTCTACCTTGCTTTTTGGGTGATCTGGTGCCTAAACTGAGGGAGAAAGAGAGAAGATGAGAGTATGAGACAGAAGGAGGCAGAGAGGCATATTTATAGGCTGGTTTCACTAGAAAATATAAGGCTTGGGAGGATGTGAAAGGTGAATGTGGAAAAAGGGTCAAGGTTGGAACTTACTTAGGCAGACTCCAGTGCCCAGTGAAAAGAAAGCTTGGATTTGTCCATATCATGGTGGGAGCTGTGACAGAAGCCAGTACCTGCTTCTTTTTTTCTTTTTCTTTCTAATTTCATATGATGAGAGCTTCTATTGTGAGTTCATTTCCCCCCCCCCTTTTTAAATTTTATATTGGTTTGCTTACAAAGTTTGTATACGTTGTGTTTCAAACTATTTTTCATTCATATTGTGTTTTATACAATCACTCCCATGCATTATGTTTTATAAAATTAGTCACCACTGGACCTCGCTCATCATTACCGTCTTTTCACTCAGATCCTTCCCATTTCCTTTACCCCCTCCCTCCACCCACTGAACTGTGCAACCCCGTTCTTGGACAGAAGAAAGCAGTGGGGCTATTATCTCATGAAGATAATGTGTCAAAATATCAGCCTCCCTGTCGCTTTGTTCAGGGAGTGTCCTTTTTCTGTGGGGATAGTTGTGAGAATCCTGTTCATACACTAATACAACTTCCAAGGTTACAAGCAGGCTGGTGTTGGAGAAACCCTTTGATATCCAAAGAGAGAGGAACCCTCAGATGACCCCTCTGAATTCCAAGAGGACTGAACCTTGGAGAATGTTTTATTCATACATTTTAGAACCATATCCACTTTGATACATTCTGAAGTGAAAGCTAGAGCGATCTTGGCACTAAGTGATGTACCAGCTATGCTTAATCTTTTCTGAAGCCACATGAGCCTCTGGCCAGCATTAGTTGAATGCATTTTTCCCATCAGCATCACTCATTAGCCAGTATGGCTGTACAATATTATGAATCATAAATGGTTGGGAGTTAATTTCCTAATGATTCTGGACAAATGGATAAGCCTTGGCTTCCTTCTATTTGTATTTGGATGAGATAGAGAGCTGTGTCTCTCAATTTGATTTTCAAATGAGAGATGAAAACTTTCTTTTCTTCATTTGACCTTGCTATCCTTCCAGAATCTAGTGCCTGGTGGGGGTGCTCAAGCAGGGTCACCGTAGGTCTCCTTCAAATCTCTATCAAACCTCTGTCCATTCCTTTTTTGTATACACAGTGAGATCCTCCATCAAGTGCAAATACATAAATCTAAATCTAAATCTAAATATATATACTTGTGTTTTAGCAATGAACTCAAGTCCACCAATCAATGACTCTGAAGATAACACAAAACTGGGAAATGATCTACTCTTTGATATGTGAGGTTGCTGTGGTTTAGAGCCTGCTTAATGACAACTAACAACAGTCAGATATCCTTGAAAAATGAATTTGGTGTCTGTTTTGGGATTATGTTGAACACGTAGATTGCTTTGGGTAGGATTGTCATTTTCACAATATTGAGTCTTCCTATCCATGAACAGGAAATATTTTTCCATTTATTTAGGTCTTTTATTGTGTCTCACAAAAGTGTTCTGTAGTTTTCTTTGTATCTTTTTGGAAGCTGATTGTATCATCCTTTTTTATTTTTTTGAGGAGCATCTGGTGGATTTGGACAGTTGACCTTTTGGTTAGCAACCAAACACTTAGCTGCTGTACCCCCACCCCCAAAACATTCTGGCTTGGTTTTTGTTTGCTTTTTTTTTTTTTTAACATAAAAGATAAAGCATATATCTTTCTATGCTTTTGAGTGCCATGTGCATGTTTACATCATTAAAACTTTATCATTAAACATATCAAAATGTTGCCTTTAAAAACTCTGTCTCATGGCCTTCTGTCATAGATCAAAGTTTATATAGCTATTCCTCTTTTGCTTGAGAGTTTTGGTAAGAGTCTGCAGTACCAACTCAAAGGCATGTGATTCAAATCCAGGAGCTGCTCCTTGGAAGAAAGATGGGCTATCTCTTCCTGTGCAATTCACATGCTCTAAAAATCTGCTAGAGGGTCAGATATGAATTGGTGTCCACTCGATGGCACATTACAACAACTTTTGGTTTGACATGGTAGACGTTTGTCTTGTTTTCTTTCTACTGCTTTGCTGCACACACATCATTGTTTAAATGTGGGATATTTTTTTCTCTTGAGTTATTATCAAAGAAAGAAATGCTTATCATTCTTTAATAGATACTATCACAGAACCTTCCAAAGTGGTTACCTTAAACCCATGTGTGCTTCCCTCTGTATGCGGCTATCAGTATAGGGCTTGTCGGTGGGAAGAGACGATCCTCAGAGATTAGTTGAACTTTCTGATAAAATCTCCTCATCAAGGTCCAAAGGACTGAAGTTTCTTGATTTATCTTCACCTCCAGTATTTGCTTTTCAGAATTCTTGAATTGGATCTCATTGTCAGAGATGAGGATGGGAATATCCTGGATCCTGATAATACCAGTGTCATCAGCTTGTTCCATGCACACGAAGAAGCAACTGATAAAATCACAGAGCGTATCAAGGAAGAGCTGGTGAGCTTTGTTAAATATAGTTTGGCCAAGCGAGGCAGGCATTTAACACATCATTAACTTAAAATAATAGGCTAATTAACCAGACTGTATATTATTCACGGGGCCATCTGTCCTCTGACCCGAGATGATTGGTAACCACATTCATTTTATTGTGTTTTTGCACTTAGATTTGTAGTTCATTCAACATCCATCCCACAGGTAGTTAAATGCCAGGGACGTTACCTGTTCTTCTGGAACTTTTATGTTCTAGAGAGAAGAAAAGAAACGCAGTTTTAAAAAGTAAATAAATAAATGTACAAATTGATTCCAGATGGTGATAAATTCTCTAAAGGCAATAAACTAGGCTATGCGAAGCAGTGTGACTTAAAGAGCTATTTTAAAAGGCATAGGGCCCCTGGGTGGAATAAATAGTTAAGGACTCGGCTTGCTGCTCACTTAAAATTTAGCAATGTGAGTCTCCTTAGAGGTGCCTTAACAAGAAAGGCTTGGCCATCCACTTCCGAATAATCAACCGGTGAAAACGCCGGGGAGCACACTTTGATACAAGTGCGAGTTGCTCTTAGTTGAAATCAACTCAGTGGCAACTGGTTTGGTTTGGGTTTTAGAAGGACAAGAAAGGTCCCCAATGAGGAGTGTCATCTGCACTAACACAAAATGTTATGAAAGTGGCAGGTTTGGGAAGATCGTAGGTAGAGGGTAGGACGGATTGCCGCATGATAAGGGAGTAGAACTGTGGATGAGCACGGTAAGCACTGGGGAACGTAAGCAGTGATGCAGAGTGGGACCAGGATTTGACATATCACCAAAGAGAGTTACAATGTCATGCAATTATGGTGGGACACCATCAAAGGATTTTAAGGAAGAGTTGACATAATTGGCTTTACATTAAGAAAAAAAAATATCACATTTAACCAGTGAAAAACTAGTCCTCTTTAGGTTGATCCCAGCTCATGGTGAGGCTGTGTTCCTCCGTGAGTCAGAGCAGAGCTCTTCTCACAGAGCATTGATGGATCCAGGTAGTATCGCACTTAAGTTTCATATCACTGGCTAATTTTTTCAATTGTCAATCACCTGGGCTTGCTTCCTTTCAGTACCTCTGGGTGGACTTAAACCCTCAACCTTTTGGTTAACAGTCAAGTGTGTGTGTACCACCCAGGGACACCTGGAGTCCCGTTGTTGTTGTCACATGCTATAGAGCCAACTGAGATGCATAGTGACCTTGTGAATAATTGATCTGAAATCTGCCCTACCCTTCAAAACATCACATTAAGTTCTATGAATTAATAGACAGCAACTTTATTTAGGTTTAATTTCGTGCAGTAAAATGTACTCACATTAAACCAGCACTTTAGTGAATGTTGGTGTTGTTGCTGTGTACTGTCCAATCACAACCAACCCATAGCTGACCCTACAGTGGGTTTTCAGAGACAGTTTAATCACACTGAAGGAGAATGACCATCTTCTCCTACAGAGCAGCTGTTGTATTCAGACAGTGTGCCTTCTGGATAATAGTGCAAATTCTTGCCACTAGACCACCAGAGCTCCCTGGTAAATGTTAGTAATATATACAGCTCTTGGTAAAGGCTGTCACAATCAAGCTATAGAACAGTTTCCTTGTATTACTTTACAGTGGATCTCCTCTTTTGACCCCCAGCCCAGGCTACTCCTGACTTGCTTTCTGTCAGTACGAGTTTGTCATTTGCAGAACTTCCTATAAATGGAATCATGTAGCAAATGCTTTTTTATTTTATGTTTATTTTTCACATTTTTATTTTATATTGGTTTGGATAAAAAATCTTTATTCACATTGTGTTTCATACAATCATTCCCATACATTTTGTTTTATAAAATGAATCCTCATTGAATTATGCTTAATATTTTTCAAGTGGAGTGACATTTTTGAGTTTGGGTTGTGTATAGCAATGTTTTGTTATTTTAGCCCTCTCTTTCTTGCTGAGTTGGTATTCAATAGTATTACTGTACCATTGACCTGTTAATGGACAAGCCAACTCTCAAGAACTCATTACCATCAAGGTGGGAACAACTCATAGCTAACTCCCAATTAGGTTTCGGAGGCTGTAAATAACCTGGGGGGAGATTGCCCATCTTTCTCCCAAGAAGCTGTTGGTGGATTAAAACCACCGGCGAGGTCAACAACATTGACCCGTGGATGGACTTTTGAGTTAGTCACAATTTAGACTATTATAAATAACACTACTATGAACAGTCACATATAAAACTTTATGTGGGCAGAGTGTTTCCATTTTTTATAGTTGAGAGTAATACCTGATAGTGGAATTGCTGAATCATATAGGAAATATATGTTGAACTTTCTCCTCCATTTTTTTTAAAAAAAAATTATTATTCGTTCATTTATGGATAGTTTCTTCTTTCTCCCTCTCCCAATTCCCCTTATAATTATTATTGTCACTCACATGTTTCTAATCATCCATGTTGAACTGTTTTTTTACATTAAACATTTTATATTTGTTTTGTTGTTGTGGAGAATATATGCATTAAAACAGTCGCCAGTGCAATAGTTTCTACAGGTGCAGTTTAGTAACATTGATTACATTCTCCACGCTATGCAAACATTCTCACTCTTCTTAAATCTTTTTCGTTAAGGCACTGCTATCATATATCGTTTTGTATTCCCACTAGTGTATGTGAGTGCTCTAGTTTCTCTACATCTTTAATGCCACTTGACATTGCCAGTCTTTTTAACTTCAGCCAGCCTCGTGGGCCTGTAGTGATATATCACTGTGGTTTTCACATTATATTCATGATAACTGGTGATATTAAGCATCTTTCCATGTGCTTACTGGCAATTTGTGCCTTGTTCTGTAAAGTATCTATTAACAAATTTTCCCCATATTGCATTTGTAATTTTTCTTATTTTGAAGTGAAAGAGTTTTTGAGTATGCTGGGTGCAAATGCTTAAGCAGATATTTGTTTTGCAGGCACAGTCCCTCAGTCTATCTATATCTTTTCAAAATAGTTGATAATTTTTTGTTTTGAGTAAATGCATTTTTGTCAATTTTTTAATGGTTCTGATTTATGTCACTAACTTTTTACAGAAAGATGAGTTAATGGTGATATTTTCCCTGATGAGAAAATCAAGGCTAACACAGCTCAGAAAGCTTGGCTAAGATTGCAGAACCTTTTGGAAGTAGTTGTGGTTAAGTGCCACCACGATTCATATTCATAGGGTTGCTTAGAGAGCCAGGTCTGCTAGCCAAAAGCTTTAGGCTTAAGCTTGCAGGTGATTCTCAATATCCTGTACCACCTGTCTGTTCTCAGTCATACTTGACTAACTTTCTACATCTTCCTCCCCCTTACCAGTCTAAAGACCAGCCGGATTATGGAATGTATTCTCGCGTTTCCTCCTCCCCAACCCACAGTCTCTATGTCTTTGTGAGAAACTTTGTCTGCAGAATTGGGGAAGATGCTGAGCTCTTCATGTCACTCTATGATCCCAACAAGCAAATGGTCATAAGGTGAGTGTGTTCAGTATCACTGGGCCTCTCTGTACGGGGCAATTTAGAGTCAGTAGAATACAGAGCAACTTTCCTTCCCAGCATCATTTGCTGAGGACGATTTCTCCTCTAGAAGAGGAACTGAGTGTGAAACTGTGGTGCTTGCTTCTTTGGAGGATGTAACAATCAGATAGAAATATCATTTGTGACCAAATTTTCCCTCACAGTGGGGAAATGGCTGTATGACAGCCAGAAATAGAAAGACTAATCCCAACTTTTAAAGTGGGAGTTGAGAAATGAATGGTGAGAACTGCAGGTCCTCTAGGGCAGCATGAGAAAGTCACGTGGGCTCAGCCCCCTGCCTGCGTCCACACCCCAATTCACAGTCATGTACCCTCAGCTAACTTGGGTCAGGTTGCCTGAGTCTCTTTCAAGTCTCAGTTTTACGTTTGCAGGATGAGAGTACCAACTTTAATGAGGGAGATTTCTTTTATGCTTTAATGAGACAAAGCCCGTGAAGCACTCCACACATAGCTTAGTACACAGTAATGGAGAAACAAGAGGTGGTTACTATTACCACTTTTATTAATTACTCTTGAGAAGAGAGGAAGTGAAAAACCTTCCTAGTGCCTCTGTTCAAGAAAGGGAAACTCCTTTGGGTATCTCTAGGGAAGAGACTTGGGTGAACTTCCCACCATTCTTGCTTTCCCAAGGCTTAGTTTGTGGCTCCCTGGGGCCTACTGATTGTCTCTCCAGTGGAGTTTTAGACCAATGTGTGCTTCTATACAGAAGATCATGAGTTAAACCATTAGAATGACCAGGAGCTTGATCCCCTGCTTGCGTGGCCCTAATGAAGACAATGATGTTAGGTTGTTATGGTGATTAAATGAAATGACATAAAGTGCTCCAGTGAATAAAAGTGCCTTTTAGTAAATGATGATTCATTTGGAGATACTTATGAAACTTAGAGGGGCTATCCATTTAAGAAAACTTCACTGAGATCAGCATGTGATCTCATTCAGTCCCCATCACTCTGTGTCCTTTGAGTGAGGAAAATGGGGCTCTGGTGACTGGCACAAAGTCACACATGTTTATTAAAAGGCAGAGCTGAGATTTATAGCAGGTCCATCTGACACTAAAGACAGATTGTTTTTCCACATTAGTCTGAAGCCAAGGAAGGACCTGTAACTAATATCTCAAATGATTCTGGCTAGGGTTTCAGCACTGTGATGGTAGAAAACTATTTGTTATGCTTATTAATTGTTAAATCCTCCGTATTAAGATTAAGCCTAATGTGGCATCGAGATTGGACAAAAACTCCTCAACAACCATCTTTAGTCTTCCATAGCTGTTCAAGTTGCTCCTCATCAATATATTTCTTCTGGACTGTTGTTTCTTGGGCATTTGCTTTCAAAATTGCTTCTTCCATCATTTGTGTCTTCTTCTGTAGCTCTTCAATTAACTCCACATCAATATATTTCTTCTGGTTCTCTCTATCAGGGGTATTTATTGGATCTACTTTTTTAGGAGATGGACTATTTTGTTTTTCCATGACAACTGAGGCAGACTACTGCTTTCTTGACATAAAGTGAATGTTTTCTTAGTAGATTCTATGTCATTGTAACTATATAGTGACCAAGAGTATGGCCGTGCTTTGTGAAGGATCTGTATATTTGTGTTTTGTTCTTGGCCTATTTTCCCCTCGAGAACTGACTCTGCTGCTTCACTCAAGCTCCGGCTATTCCTCTACTTTCTGCTTAAGCTTAAGGGATCCTGTGTGGTCCAGCCAAACAGCAGTGATCCCCACAGAGTACCTAGGTTCCTGAGGACGCGTGGCTCTGCTCCTGAAGATATGTGGTGGCTATCTATGGTCAACTGATATTTGACAAGGAAATAAAATCTATCAGATGGGGAAATAATAACCTTTTCAATAAATGGTACTGGCAAAACTGGACTGCTACCTGCAGGAAGCCCACATCTCACACCAGGCACAAAAATCACCTCAAGGTGGATAAGAGACTTGAGGGTAAAGTGCCAAACCATAAAATTCATGAGAGATAAACCGGGATCAAGCTTAGAAACCCTAGTCTACAATATAAAGAGACTGCCAAATACAGCCAGAAATATATAATCTGAAAAGGATAAAATTGATAAATGGGATCTTCTAAAGATTAAATCCCTGTGTGCATCAAAAACTTTTCCAACAGGGTGAAAAGAAAACCTACTGGCTGGGAACAAACATTTGGCAATACCGTCCCAGACAAGAGTCTCATAATTAAAATTTATAGAATACTCCTGGGTCTGAACAAGAAAAAAATATGATAATCAAATTACAAAATGGGCAAAAGACATGTTAAGAATTTTCTCAGGGGCAGATATTCGAATGCCCAACAGATATATGAAGAAATACTCCAAGTCACTGGCAATAAGAGAGATGCAAATCAAAACCATGACGAGATACCATCTCACTCCAGTAGCACTGGCAAAGTTTAACAGCACGGCCAGTAATAAATGTTGGAGAGAATATGGTGATATAGGAACTCTTATACATTGTTGGTGAGATTATAAAATGGTACAACCACTCTGGAAGGCAGTTTGGCGCTTCCTCAAAAAGCTGAACATGGAAATTCCATATGACCCAGCTATTCTATTCCTTGAAATATACCCCAAGAAAACTGTGGCTCAAATGGAAATTTGAACACCAATGTTCATTGAAACTTTATTCACTGTCTCAAGAACATGGAAACAGCCCATCTGTCCAACCACAAATGAATGGATTGAGAAGTTGTGGCACAGTCATACAATGGAATATTATACAGCATGCAGGAGTAATCATATTGTAAATTACTACCAGAGTTTGGAGAGACTAGAGAGCATTATTCTGAGTGAACTAATTTAGTCCTACAAGGACAAATACTTTATAAAACCACTACCATAGAATGAATATAAAAATCCAAGGTGGGGAGGGGGAAGGGTGGAAATAGAGGGGTGAGGATGGGTTGGGGGTTAGGGTATTAATCATAGGGTTGCACACTTTGATGGGTGGATGAGGTGAAGGAAATGGGAAGGATCTTTTGTGAAAGACAATGTATTCAAATTTTGTTAATAAATCAGAATAAATTATTTTTTTAAAAAACCGAAACAACCAACCTATCTTGTGCAGATGATACAGTCTTGGTTGCTGAAAGTGAGTAGGACCTGAAATGCTTGCTGCAGAAGATCAAAGACTATAGACTTCAATATGGATTATATATCAACATCCAGTAAACAAAGATCTTTACCAATGGACCAAGAAGCAACATCATGATAGATGGAGAAAGGATAGAAACTGTTGATTATTTCATATTACTTGGATCCACAATCAACACCCTTGGTACTAGCAGTCAGAAGATAAGGAGATGGATTGATTTGGGCAAGGCCACTGTCAGAGACCTTTCCAATAAATTGAAGAGCAATACTGTCAGTGTGAAGACTAAGGTGCACCTGATTCAAGATATGATCTTTTTAATCACTTGCTGCTTGAACAATGAATAAGCATTATAGAAGAATTGATGCCTTTGCGTTGTGGGGGTTAAGAAGACTACTGAATAGACTGCCAAAAGAACAAACATACATCTTGGAAAAAGTACAGCCAGTTTTGCTCCTTGAAGGCAAAGATGGTGAAGCCTCATCTCTCAAACCTTGGGTGCGTTTCTGGGAGAGGCTAGTACTTGAAAAGGGGCATTATACTTTGAAAGGTGGAAGTTATATGAAAGAAAGGTAGACTTCGAAAGAGATGGATTGATGCAGTGATTATAGCAATGGGCTTATGTGTACCAGAGTTGGTAAGGATAGCATAGGATAGGACAGGATTCAGATATGTTGTTCATAAGGTCACTATGAATTGTGAGGTACTTGACGGCATCTAACAACAGCAACAACACCTCAATAGACACTGAGGATGAGCAATCCTGGTCCCTTAAACGGAATCCACTCAGGATTGATTTGTATGTCACAACCTGACCCCCTCCCCTGTTGCCTGCAAGTTGCTTCCACGGGCCCTGTGAAAAGAGACTGTGAAACATTTATAGGACCCTCCTCACTTCTCTAGAAACTTGTGGGCTTCTCCTGCCTGCATTGACGTGGATGCCTCCTGGTCCATTTAAGTGAGGGATGGTCTGGCTCTCGCTTTGTAGAGGATGCCAATGGATCAGCAAGGTGGCAGCTCTATTCCCTGAAATGCCACACCAGATGACATGCACGGTGGGGCATGCCTGAGTGATGTCTCTGAGAGTATCAGGCATAGGACAACCCTCAGGGGAGGAGGAGAAGGAACTGAAGGACAGAAACTCAGAGGAAGAGGAGAAATGGAGAAAAGAAGCACGGCACAGGAGAGCAGCAGAAGGATTTGGAGACAAGGCAGTGTCAATCTGGTTATGGGAAACTGCCCCTTTACTAAGAAATCTTCAGTCCTCCAGGCCTTAGCTAAGGTTTAAAATCAACAGTAGATAAGTTAAGGCACCCTCTGATTGGTTGGGAAATAGACCTTTTGGTGTTGGAATGAATCATGCTCAGATCCTCAGTGAAACTCTCAAGATATTTGAGCTGGGGAATTTAAGTAAATGTTTCACACACACACACACACACACACACACACACACACACACACACGAAGCAGCTGCAGCAGCAGCTCAGTCATCAGGCCTGTGGCAAGAGCTAAAGAAGGAGCTGGAGTCCTCCTGCTCATTTCCCTGTGGAGGCGTCTTTGGTGGAAGACTGGCCTGTGTTGTCGCCAGGTGGGCCTTTGGATTTTACTGCACAGGTCTTCCTGGGCAAGGATGGATGGAGGCAGCCCGATCCTCTAAATTGCTTTTCTTATTTATGATTGCATTTCCTGTAGCAGAAAACTGCTGCTGGTTGCTGTTTAGCCTTGGACGGCTGGGTCACTAAAAGGCTTGCAACATGTGATGGAAAGTCCTGGGAAAACATCCAGACATTTCACTGTGCACAGTACAGTAATAATCAATATGTAAAAATGATTTTTTCCCCTTTTTGCATAGACCTTTCTTGGCTAGTTTGCTGTAAATTCCAACCATTTGAAATGTTAGATACTGAGAAAATTAAAACAACCAAAAGAAAGGTACATTTGGCTTGAGTGAGTTTTAAGACTTGGTTAACCCAGGTCTATGTTCCTTTTCCTTATCGGGACCATTTCCCCCTGGACTTTGCTCAGAGTACTCTCATTAATCTTCTAGGTGTGAGAGCAGAGAAAGGGGAACAAGAAATCAGGGAGAACGAACGAAGCCTGAAAAAGAAGGCAATTCCCCTTAACTCTATTGAATTTTCTTATCATGCTTTCCTGGGTTAACATGGTTTTATGGACTGTACTTTGTTTTGTCTTAGTGTTTCCTCAATTTAAGACAACAAGCATTTATTAAGTATCATCTATATGCTCTTTTAAATATACATTTATATTGAATCTATACATATTCAATATGTATGCTGAAGAAATAATCCAGAAGTTGGACTATATGATGAAGAACAACAGCTTCAGGATCCTATCCCCATCCTGTCCTGTGCCTTCCTCACATAGGATGGGGTTCAGATCTGTTGTTCTGAGAGTCGCTATGAGTTATACTCAACTTGAAGGCACTTAATATTTACGACAACAAGAAGCATTGATCGCATTTCAACATGAAGAAAACAAAAATCCTCAGACCTCGAGAGAAAAGATCAAAGCTGTCAATGATTTTATTTTTACATAAATACATAATGAATGCCCATGGGAGCAGCAGTCAAGAAATAAAACAGTTGGGAGGTCTGCTGAAGAATGAAAATGCTAAAGAACAAGTATAGCAATTTAAAGATTTATATATACCTGACCTAACCCGTGATATTTTCATTCTCTTCATATGCATCCGAAAGCTGTACAATAAAGGAGGAAAACCAAAGACTAATTCATGTCTTTGGATTATGGTGTTTGTGAAGAATATAGGCTATATATGACTTATTGTGCTGGCTGTTAGTGTAAGTATAATTGTCGCTGTGTATCATCGTGTTAGAACTGACCCATAGCTGACCCTCCAGTGGCTTTTCAGAGGCAATTAATCAATAGGAGGAGATTGTCCATCTTTTCTTCCCATGTAAGAGTGCTTATTAAAAACAGAGAATGGCTAGACCTCATCTCACATACTTTGGGCATGTTAACAAGAGTGATGAACAGGGAGATCATACTTGATATCGTACAAAGTCAGTGAAAAGGAAGATATTCAAGGAGATAGTTTGGCACAGTGGCTGCAACAATGGGCTAAAACATAGCGAGAGACATGAGGATGGCAACAATGATCTGAAGCATAGAAATAGTTGTGAGGATGTCATAGGACTTACCATGCTTCATCCTATTGCAAAGGATAGCTATGAATTGAAAGTAACTCAATAGTATCTAAAACCAAGAATGACATGTGCTCCTGAATGGTGCTTCAGCTTATTAAACTACACTTAGATTTTCCTAAGTTAGGAAAGCTAAGCTTCTTGGTCTTCTTGGTACTCTGGGACTAATATAAACTACAGAGGATGGTGTAGGGCTACCAGAAGGTATGAGGCACTGTTGCTGTTAGGTGCCTTGGAGTCAAGTATGACTCATAATGACCCTATGAACAACAGTTCTGAAACTTCTTCTATCCTCTGCCATCCCCACAATGTCTGTCTACAGCCTAATGCTGTAGTCACTATATAAATCTACCTAGCTGAGAACCTTTCTTTCCCTCACATCCTTCTACCTTCCCAAGCACTATGTCCTTCACCAATAACCTTTCTTAGCAACATGCCCAAAGTATGTGAGCTAACGCTTCATCATCTTTACCTCCAAGGAGCACTCAGGCTGCACCTTCTCCAAGACATACTTGGTTGGTTTTTTGGCAGTCTATGGGATATTCAGCACTCTTCTCCAACATCACAGTTCAAAGGCATCAATTCTTCTTCTGTCATTCTTAGTCATTACCCAATTCTCAGATGCATAGGAAGTGACCATGGTCTGAGTCAGATGCACCTTAGTCCTCAAACTAGCACCATCACATTACATAATTTGGATCATCTGATCTTCTGACAGCTGGTACCAAATATATTGATTGTAGACACAAGTAAGATGAAGTCATTGAAGTCTCAATCCTTTCTCTGTCCTTGATGATGGTGCCTATCAGTTCAGTGGCAAGGATTTTAGTTTTCTTGACATTGAGATGCAATCCATATTGAAAGTTGCAGTGTTTAACCTCCTACAGCAAGTGCTTAAGTGCTTCTCACTTTCAGCACGCAGGGTTGTGTCATCCACATAAAAAAAGTTATTGATGAATCTTCCTCTAATACTGATGTCACATTCTTCTTCACAGAGTCCACCTCAAATATAGCATACAGAGTAAATAAATATAAAGGATACAACCCTGATGCAAACATTTCCTAATTTAAACCATCCAGGGTTCTCTTGCTTTGTTCATACAAAGCCTAAAGGTCTAGGTACAGGTTTTGCAGGTGTTGTTGATTGCCTTCAAGTTGACCATGACTCATAATAACCCTATGAAGAAAAGGCCTGAAACCCCTCTACAAATATTGACATTTATCAAAGTTCATAGAGTTTCCAGAGGCATGTTGTTTAGGAAGTGGAAGTGGATGCCATTCCTGGTTTTGCAGAGCACTGGTCAGTGATCATATGCTGGAATCCTGTGACTGCTCCACACACTTTTTCAGTGGATCTTTATCATTCTTAGGACCAAGTCTAAAACCTTACATTCCTACAGGGTGTAATCTCCTAATGTTTCTCTTACTACACAAAGGCATTTGACTGTGTGAATCACAACAAATTGTAGCTAACCTTGAGGAAAAATCCCAGAACACTTTATACTTGGACCGGGAAGCAGTCCTCAGAACAGAGCAGGGAAACATCTCATGGTTTAAAATCAGGAGAGCATCAGGGATGTATCCTGTCTCCATACCTTTTCAATCAATTTATATGCAAAACAGATCATTCCAATAGCAGGGCTTTATGAGGAGCAATGTGGCTTCAGGATTGGAGGAAGACTCACCAACAACCTACATTATACAGATGAAACAACCTTGTTTGCTGAAACGGAAGAAAAACTGAAGCACTTGCTGCATAAGGTCAAGAACTGTAGACTTCAATATGGATTGAAGCTTAACATCAAGAAGACAAAGATTCTCACCACGGGGCCAATGATAGATGGCACCTTGATAGATGGAGAAGAGATTGTGGTTGTTAACGATTATAGCTTGCTTGGCTCCAAAATCAACATTTTTTAACACTAGCAGTCAGGAAATCAAAAGACAAATTGTGTTGGAGAAGTCTGTGTCAGGGACCTCCCCAGAGTGCTGAAAAGCCATGATGTCAGTCTAGAGACTAAGGTACACCTAATCCAGGCCATGGTCTTCACAATTACTTGATATATGTCAGAGAGCTGGGCAATGACAAAGGATGACAGAAGAATTGATTCCTTCAAATTTTGGTGCTGGAGAAGAGTCTTGAACATATCATGGTCGGCCAAGAAAACAAGTAGATCTGTCTTGGAGAGGGTGAAGTTTCTCCTTGGAGGCTAGGATTTTGAAGGCCTGTCTCATACTTTGGACATGTGGCTGGGAGAGACCAGTCCTTGGAGAAGGACATCATGCTTGGAAGGGCGGAGGGACAGTGCAGAGGAAGATCCCAGATGAGAAGAATTAATAGAGTAACTGGAACAATGGGGGTTGGTGTGTTGGATATAGTGAGACTGGCTCAGGACAGGGCAGGGTCCAGAGATGCTGGACATAGGGTCACTGTGGGTTGCAGGTGTCTGCATGGCACATAACAGCAACAGCAACAACAACTTGCTTTTCAGATAAGTTTCTCAGATGCATTGAATCCCTAACTATGTTAGGACATTTCTCCCTGTGCCTAACACATTTCTCTCTCTTATTCTTTTTTTTGATGTATTTAATTTGCAGATCATTTTCCTAGTAAAAACTTCACAATTCAAACTAGGTCAGACCCTTCTAATGTGTACTCTCACAACATCCCTCACTTTTTCTTTATAGAGTTTGTCAGGACAGCACATGAATAGTTAAGTTTATAGTAGATAATGGTCAAGGCACATTTGATCCATCACAGCATGATGTTCCATTCAAGGAAAGGTAATCTTCTATCCCAAAGTTAATCTAAAATAGCACACATTTCTGGTTATTTTATTCAGTCTCTTAAGTAAAAGTCAAAGGGAGTAGTATAGTAAGGGGAGTACATTTTTTAATGTCTTGCAAAATGTGCTAAAATACATCCCTTATCTCTATCACTTTCAGTATCCTTTATAGAGAATGTAGCCTAATCTTAAAAAATACAAAGCATCTTCTTTGGAATTTGCTTAGCATCTGAGGGTGGAAGGAGGTTGAACGTACACATGTATTGGAAATTCTCTATTCCTGGTGCAGCATGGTACCTTGTCTAGTCTTTCTCTTTAATGAGACCATGACCTCTAAGAGAAGGAGATCATGTCTACTTCATACACTGCTGTAGCTCCAGCAACAATTATGGCGTTAGGCATACAGCAGATGCTTAGTGAATGATTTCCTGTTGAATACTGAGCCCTGGGAATAATGTGCTGCTCTTTTTTTTTTTCCTCAGTGAGAACTACCTAGTGCGATGGGGCAGCAGGGGCTTTCCAAAGGAGATCGAGATGCTGAACAATCTGAAGGTGGTCTTCACGGTGAGTTGACCCTCTCTTCTTGTTGCCATGTTCCATATACACAGAGGATGTGAACTTGGAGATGAATCTTGTTGGTGGGTCAGGATGGAGTGTGGCCTCTGTGCAGAACTACATTAAGGGCTTTATCCTAGCCAGCCTCCATTGGGTTTCTGAGGCTGTAAATCGCCAAGGGACGGAACTGCCTGTATTTCTTGCATGAAGCCACTGGTTAATTTGAACTGCCAGAGACTTAAGAGTCTTTGAACTAGCAGTACAACTTCCTATAAACTACACCACTGACATAATTTGGATCCATCACTGTACTTATATTACCAATCCATCTTACCAAGATTATCTGTCACCCTTGTTGACCCTTTTCCCCCCATCAATCATTATGTCCTTTTTTATGATTGAGTTCTCCTGGAAGCTTGTTTAAAGTGAGTCAGATAATATTCTTCTCACCTGAGTGATGGACTTAGTTGCTAATAGAAAGGTTGGAGATTCAAGTCCACCAAGGCAATCTGGTTCTGAAAAATTAAGACACTAAAAAGTAGAGCACATTTCTACTCTGTTGTCATGAGTTGGAATCAACATGAGAATAACTGGATTTTTCTTACAAAAGACACTGTATCCTCCCTTTGTCCATCTTTCTTCCTCCATTACCTTCCTTTATCTCTTCCTAGCACGCCCTTCTTCACACAGACAACACATCCAAAGTACTACAGAAACAAGCGTAGGCATCTTTGCATGATAATTCCTAGGTGAATTGACAATAGCAGCTCTTTTGATTTTCTGATAAATTCATGCTTAATGAGACCCAATCTTTGGCTCAAGTTTTTCTGAAAACCTTTTTTAAATGCTGCAGAAAAAAAAAATCTTCCTAGAATAATTCCTGCCTTGACAAATTGGATATTCTGAACGTAATTGAGTCATAGATGACTAAAGATCTTACGGGTCCTTGAGATCATCATTCTAAATACCAATACTCAGTCGGCAAGAGTTACATCTGAAAATGCTGAAATCAATTGTTATTTGGATGATTTATTTCTGAGGGTGAACCTAGCTTTTTTGCTTCTGGGGAAAAGAAAGAATATAAAGAAAGAGAAAAGGCTATAATTCTCAGCAGAACCCTTTCTCTTCTTGTCTTGTTTTCATGGCTATGTGTTAGGAGCCCCTGGGTGGTATAAATAGTTAATGTATTCAGCTACTAACAAAATATTGGAAGTTTGAGTCCATCTCACAGTACACTGGCAATCTACTTCTGAAAAGTTAGCCAATGGAAACTGTGGAACACAGTTTTCCTCTGACATGTGGTCACTATGGCAAACTCCAACTTACAGGTTGAAATTGACGAAAAACCAAGTGTGAAATACTCTGGTGGAAATGTCTTGCTGCCAACTGAAAGGCTAGCAGTTTGAATCTGATGTCTCTGAGGGAGAATGATGATCTCTATCTTCCTGTAAAGATTCACAGCCTCAGAAACACTCTCCACGATCCCCAATAGACTGTGGCTATTGTTTTACTCTACTTTAAGAGAGGACTTCAAGAAACCTAATGATAATGGTGTTGGTGACAAGCTTCTTCTTTTTTTTTTATTAAATTTTATTAGTTTTAATGAACATTTACAGGGATTTTGGGTTTTCATTCCTTCATTGCTGCACCATTCTCTCTACCCTCCTCCCCAGTTTGTTCTTCTTCCCCGCCATCCGCCATCCGAATGTCTGTTTTAATTGTCCAATTGCCACAGTGCTTGTCAAAGTCAGTTCTGATTAATCTCCTTTGTCGGTGTGTCCTTTGCCATTCCCTATCACTCCTCCCTGAGAAAGACTTCACCCTGATTCATAAGGAAAAGGGGATGGCATATTCTCTTAGCTACTTCCTGCTGAAAAGGGACGCTGTGGGTTTCAGGGTGAAGATCTTCTCTCTCTACTCTAAAGGGCCCCTTTGGCAGTAGGAAACACAGAGACTATTATGGAGATTGATTTTGGAATTTAGATGCACTCTTATTGATTGTGCTTGGCCGTACATGTTCATATCCTTGAAGATGTATCATGGGGGTGTTGCAACCTAGAAGACACCAATTTGACTAACAAGTTATAAGTACATGAGTCAAAAATTATGGAAAAGTAAAAGAAAAGATTCTTTCATTGTTTTACAAACCCTCCCCCAGGTCCCCTCCACCATGTAGCCCTCGCTCTAGACTCCTGTGATGACAGAAATACCTAGTCATATATCTCTTTTAAACAGTTTTCTCCCTCCTCTGTTTCAGTGCAGTATACATTATTGAACCCATCTTACTCAGTCTCTCCCCAACCCCAAGGACAGTCCCATTCTACAACAGTGGCATCATGTAATATTTGTCCTTTTGTGACTGGGATATTTCACTCAGCATAATGTTCTCCAGAGTCAACCATTTTGAATAATATTGCGTGAGTTCCTTGTTTTTTAATGCAGCATAGTATTCCGTTGTGTGAATATACCACAGCTTCTCTAGCCATTCATTTGTTGATGGGCACTTAGGTTGTTTCCAACTCCTTGCTATTGTGAACAAAGCTGTAATAAACATGGGTGTGCATATATCTGCTTGGATGTCAGCTATGGTCTCTTCAGGGTATATTCCCAGTAGTGCAACTGCTGGGTCAAATGGTATCTCTATTTGCAACTTTTTGAGAAAGCGCCATACTGCTTTCCACAGGGGTTGCACCATTTTACACTCCCACCAACAGTGAATCAGGGTTCCAGTTTCTCCACAACCTTGCCAGCATTTGTTGCTTGCTGTTCTGTTAAATTTTGGACAAGCTTCTTTACAGTTAAGACCATTTATGAGATTTTTCACTACTTCGCCTATGTTATCAGAAGAAATAGCCAAGGAGGATCTGGGAAGGTATTTGGGCATTGACCTAACTGATAGGTTTGATTCAACAGTGACCGACATGCTAGATTAAGCTACCTTGCTCTACAATAATTTTCTAGTTACAGCCCATTAAGTGCAATGTCTTGCGTTATGTTGCAATTAGACTGGAGTGGAGCTGATTTATTTTGTTTGTTATTTCCTGAAAAATGGGCCAGAGGCATAGAATAGGATCATAGGTCCTAATTGCTTAGACTAAATTTTCTTGGCACATATAAATATGCCTCAGTGCTGTTTATCTATTATTAGCTAGAAGGAGGAGCCTATTTATTTTCTTGATAAATGGAACAGTCCCATGGGGCTTCCTGATTAAACCAGGAGACAGATGTTCCATGAGTGGAAGAAGGATGGGGAATCAATCTGTGGTTCTTTTTGCAGAGAACCAATTCATGATCTAAACATGAGGGGAAAAGACATCAGTAAATTTATATCTGGCCATATTATGGAGAATGTGATTCTTGCCACAAGAAATTCTATCTGCCCCACTGCTTCTGCCTTTCAGATAAAATAAACTTGTGAACCTAATGGGATTGGCTCACTTTAGGCTGATGCATCCCTCTGTTGAAATGACAGAATAGACAAATGGATGAATAGATAGATAAATGTCATTGATTTGACTCTGACACATGTTGACCTGATGTACAACGGATCATACTGCATTTTATTCACTTGTGCTGACGTATTTGGATCCATCTCTTTACCTATATTGCTAATCCATCTTACTGAGATTTTTTTGTCACCCTTGTTGGCTCTTTTCCCCCATCAATCATTGTGTCCTCTTTTATGATTGAGTTCTCCTGGTAACTTATTTAAAGTGAGTCAGATAATATTGTTTTGTGATCCACAATATTTTTATTCTCTAGCTCTTAAAAGTAGATTTCAAGGTCTTTCTTTCTGGTTTAAGTCTGGAAGATCATGAAATCTGTCCATCATAGATCTCACTGTTGCTATTTGAAATGTTGATGGCACAGTTTCCAGCATCTTCTTGTTATTGCTGTTGTTAAGTGCCATCGAGCCATAGACGCCTCATTATGACTTAATGAATGAAAGACCTCAACATTTGTATAAAGTTCATCATTCCTTTTAGTTCATAGAGTTTCTGGAGGCAGCTATTTCAAAAGTGGTTGCCATTCCTGCTTCTAAGCGAGTTCAACCAAACACTGTCTGTAATGGGCAACCATTATCACATTTGACACATCAGTGTCACAGTGTTCACCATCACAGCAACCATGAGTTACTTTTGTACAGCAAATTGGCGGACAAGTGCTACTACTTACAAGAATACTACTTAGAAGAATGACTGAAAACAATTAAAACCAGGCTTGAGGGCTGCAAATGAAAATCACCCACCTTTGGCTTGGTAGCATAACTTTCTATGCAGTAGGCCAACAGAGCTCTCTCTATGACTCACAGCAATTCTTTGAACAACAGATCTAACCCTTGCCCCATCTCTCACAATCAGAGACATGCTTGAGCCCATTGTTACAGTCACTGTATCAATCCATAGCGTTGAGGATCTTCTTTTCTTTTCTGACCTTCCACTTCTCTCAGCATGATATCATTTTCCAAGGACTGGAACCTTAACTCTTGTTAAGTACCATTGAGTCATAGATGACTCATAGAGGCCCTATGAATGAAACACCTGAACACTTGTATAACTGTGTTTCTCTAAGTTCATTGAGTTTCTGAAGGCAAGCTATTTCGGAAGTGGATGCCACTCCTTCCAGCATCTTAGTTACATGCAATCATGAACTGATAGATAGATAGTGAATAAATGATGAAAGTCTTCATTGTTGGACAATAATGGTAATCTCCAATTCATGGTGCTTTCACTTCTTTTATTTACTCAAGGGTAATCTGCTGAGTATATATAATATATAAGGTTTTGTTTCTGTTTTTATTTATTTTTTTTAATTGTTGTATACCATTGAATCAGATCTTGCTCTCACAGGAGGAGATTGTTTCTCCTTCTCCAGTAAAGCATCTGGTGGATTCAAACCACTGTCTTCAGGATTGCAGCACAGCTTTTTGCCTCTAGGCTACCAGAGCTCTCTGATGTATAAGTTTTGTGCTTACACATTGTGCTTATAATTCTGAGGACCTAGCAGAG